TGCAATTCACTAATTTTGGCACATCCAAATTAAAATTAGCTGAATTATCAAAATGTTACTAAGAGTTTTATTGGTTGGGATTTCATTGACTTATCCAAAAATGTCTATTACGCATAGCTACACAGTACATGGAATTCAGTGGTCTTGATATCAGTATTTGAAGCAACAACTAGCCTGTAGTTGTAGTGTTTGTTCCCTGTATGTTCTGTTTTACCTTTTTTTTAATTACTATCATCATAATGTAATAAAATTATACTTTAAAAAGGTTTTTCAGGTCTTTTAACTGTCAGCCAAAACATAATGGGACTACCAGATAAATATGTTGTTTGCTGACAGATTGATAGCGGTCAACAAGGCTCACTCATATATGTATTTAATGTAGCTGCTTGTAACCCGGAACATTTTTGCCATTATACACAAGGTCAGTTAAAAATGTTCAGATGACTCTTATCTTCACAAACAGAATCAATCAGAATCAGAATCAGAATACTTTATTGATCCCTAGGGGAAAACAAATGGGCTGATGACTCTGCAAACCTGAATAATACATTTAAATTACTTTTTTTTAAAAATCCATCAAACAATCAAATAATTATTTTCTTGTTTAATCTTTTCTCTGTCAAGTGGAAGTAAAATAAGAAAGAAAGCTCTCTTTTAATTTTTTGGTTTTCTTTATTATTTTATGTTTTGTTTTGTCTGACCAGCAAACAACAAACTGAAAGGTACTCAGTTTTTACTCTATGATTTTAAAAATTAAAACAGATCTTCCCATTTGAAAAGCTGACTCCAGGTTTTACATATAAATGACTACAATTATTATTTTCTTGTTAATTTACTGACCAATGTTGAAGCTGCATTATATAAGTATTTATATCTGTTGGTTTAAGTGGGTCTTTTTGTTTTTTGCAGAAGGCATTCATTAGACTGAGAACTCATATAATAAAGATGTTTGGTAATCCAATGATCAATTAATAATTAATTTTCTTAAATGAGAGACCTGCAAAATATTTTTTTCCTCGTTTTAATTCAGTTAACTTTAAAAATGTCATTGGCATATATATATATTTTTTTAATTCACTTATCTAAATCTCGCACAAGCCTGCATGTTCTTTAATGAGCCACTTCTAAGAACAACACCTACCTGACACATTGATTTGGTGTTAATTTGCAGACTGACCTATTTTCTCTGATTGCTTTTACATTATGTCAGTTGAGTAAATGCTCATCCCTCCAGCTGTGGGCAGAGGCCCGTTAAAGTGAGCAGTGGACAAAACGAGGTTAGATCTTATCCCCGCGGGGCATCTATTGATATGAGAGCGTGCACCTGAGCAGCTAATGCTCCCAGAGGGTATGTTTTCGTTGAATGTAGGTTAGTTCGCATGTAAGGTGGCACGCATCCTTAATCCTGCAGTAAAAACAGAGTGGCGAGGACGTTGGTGAGCGTCA